TCAGAAACTCTGGCATTGAAGTATGCAAGTCTTAAAGCTTTCGAGTTACAAGACCCTTGCACCCCTAACCCTTTAGAAGAAAAAAACCCAGGGGTGTTCAAACTTGACAGCTTTAAGACTTGTGGACTTCAACTCCCAGAATTCCTCCTCTCGCTCTTCATCTTGATGATGTGTGGACGGGCGGGGGGGAGGGAGCTGGAAACGGTTCTAAATGGCACTGTAGATTTGTGGAACTTCTTCTATAGAAGAGATTAGCACTGACAGGAACCCACCTCTGATACAAACAGACCTGTGTTATAACACTCAGTTGGAAAACGGTTAGTTGTACAATCCTTGGCTTTTGGGGTGCGTTAGAAATACTGCTAATTTAAAAAGGATTAAGAATCCATTTTAAGCCTTCTGGTATAAGTTAATACCGGCATTGCGCACAGATGGAAAACCAGAGATCCCTTAGAAAAGTCCCGACCCAATCGTCTTTGGAACATCCAAGAACATATTTCACCAAATAAAAGAGATTTCATGTTTGGGCACATCGGTGGGGCCACAAGAAATATACAGAAATGTGACCCACGGCCAAAGAGATGAGGCCTGCCATCTTTTCTGACATGGAGTGAAGTTGAAGTTCATTTTGGACACATCTCGTTTAAGACTCTGGCCACGGCAGACAAAGCATTAAATTAAATTAATACATCCTTTCTTATCTCAGCCAATATTCCTAGTCAGTGGGATAGCAGTGAAGGTAATGAAAATGGAATCTGGCAAGTGCAATAAGCCTGATGCAAATAAGACCCTGTTCCTTCATTGAGGCTGTCACGTATAATGTGTAGGCACTTCAGCACGACTCCCAGGTGTGGTGACATCCAGGTACATCGCCCAGCTCAGGAGGCCTTGCTCTCGGCAACCCCAGAGGGTCCTAGAACCCATCCTCTCAATCACTCTCCTCTGAGCTATTATTTTTCATGATCTGAACTTTGTGCGGAGACAAATCCGTTCTTTTTTACGGATGCAGATCCTAGGTAAAGGAAGCTATTTCTCTCTCTGGGCACACGGAGAATATATCTGCTGGACAAAACTCTGCCTTGGCAACAGGAAGGGCATCTGGCCAGTAAACACACTGCTAGCTCCATTCACTTGCCCAACCGCAAGGGATTTATGGGGTCGTTAAATGATGATGATGATGATGATGATGATGATGATGATGATGATGATGATCCCACTGCTGGCTCATATTGTCCTTGTGGTTGACAAGGGCACCCAATGCCTCCCACATATATTACCATATATGCATGCACGCATGAGCTCACCCACTGCTCATGCAAGCGATACGGGTGCGCGCACATGTGCTTGCCACCTGTTTCTGCAGCCCAGTTGCAAACTCCACCTGGCTCACTAGTGGGCCGCAGCCCCACTCAGGTTGAGGACCCCTGCTCTAAGGAGTGCCGATTCCTTTGCAAAAAGAGAAGGAAAGAAAATGTGCAAACTTCAAAGCATAAAACTCGATGTCAGTAAAGGACTTGTCTTAAATTTACTCAACCCCTTGGAAACTTCTGACGTCGATCAAGGGGTGTCTCCCACACTTCTTCAGCTGCCCCTAAACGCCAGAGTGTTGCTAACAATTCTGGGATGCCCGATTCATGTAAGACGTCAGCCAACCTGTTGGGGTCCAGACCACTCTTCCTGTTTGGCACTTCTGTACGCTTAGCTGCCTTCTCACGCAATGCCTCATGAGCTTCCGGCCAAGGGTTCTGTTAACTGTTCCATTCTTCATTGCTGAAGTCTCCGTTTTCATCATCGTCGGAGTCGGCCGAGACCTTCTTAATCCGCTGGATGGCTGCCTTGATGCTCTGCTCCAGTTCGCTGCCCGAACTCTTCGCGGAGCCTTCCTTGGGCTCTTGACTGACCTTGCGTAGTTTAACCCCCTGCCTAATGGCGGCGAGAATGCTGTCGTTGAGGGAGTTGCCACCGGAGGGCGCCTGTTGGGTCAGCTCCACTTTGCGAAGGAGGACTTCCCCACGCTTGAGGGAAGCCAAGACCTCATCCATGGACCCTGAGGCAGAACAAGTTAAAACAATAAATTTTGGGCTACAGTTGTGGTTGTTAAGTTGAGGACTATATGGTGTGTGTGTGTGTGTATTGGGATTCACTTTTTTTTACTACCGGTTCTGTGGGTGTGGCTTTGTGGGCGTGGCATGGGAAGGGGGAGGATAGTGCAAAATCCCCATTCCCTCCCCACTCCAGAGGAAGGATACTATAAAATCCCCATTCTCTCCCACTCCAGGGGAAGGATACTGTAAATCTCCATTCCCTCCCCACTCCAGGGGAAGGATACTGTAAATCTCCATTCCCTCCCAATCCAGAAGAAGGATACTGTAGAATCTCCATTCCCTCCCCACTCCAGAGGAAGGATACTGTAGAATCTCCATTCCCTCCCCACTCCAGGGGAAGGATACTGTAAATCCCCATTCTCTCCCAATCCAGGGGAAGGATACTGTAAAATCTCCATTCCCTCCCCACTCCAGGGGAAGGATACTGTAAATCCCCATTCTCTCCCAATCCAGAAGAAGGATACTGTAGAATCTCCATTCCCTCCCCACTCCAGGGGACGGATACTGTAAATCTCCATTCCCTCCCAAATCCAGTGGAAAGATACTGTAAAGCTCCATTCCTTCTCCACTCCAGGGGAAGGATACTGTAAATCTCCATTCCCTCCCCACTCCAGGGGACGGATACTGTAAATCTCCATTCCCTCCCAAATCC